GTGTTTTATATATGTATATGTACCATGTTCATGCCTGGTGCCTACACAGACCAGAAGGCAGCATGGGATCCCCTAGAACTAGAATTGCAGGCAGTTGTGAGTCACCATGTGGGTAATGGGAACCAAACCCTGGGGTCCTTTACAGGAACAAAGTGCTCTTAACCACTGAGCAATCTCTCCAGCACCAGTATCAATTTTTTTAAATAAATAAGGTCTAAAGAGAAATACTTCTTTTCTTTCATTACCTCTATTCGTGGGCTTTCTTCATTGACTTTCCTGTAGGAGATGGGGACTTCAGTTACTATAAAGTCAGAGCAGAAACAAAACCAGCAGGGGTGTCTTTCTGTGCTTCCAACAAGCCCCAGCGTGTGGGCTGGTGACACACTGAGACAGAATGAAAATGAGGCTACTGGCCCGTGCTGTAATCCCATTCCTCCTGAGATGGAGGTGGGAGAGACTGTCAGCCTTGGATACTCACCAAGCTCAAGGCTAGCCTGGGCCAGAGGAGACCTTGCCTTACTACACAAAGAAGTTACTGAATTCATCTCGGTATAGAAGGCAGCAAAAGAGGGAGGAAAAGTCAAAGCGGCAGGGTTAGATGAAAGATGAGAAGAAAAATGAAATGGCCTGGTGGGGGTAAGCCCTGGGCGCAAGAGGGGTTGGGGGGAGATGCTCACAGGCAGGCTGCATCCCCAGGTGCCTGCCCTAGGGCCTGAAACAGAAATAAACTGTCCGTAGCCCTCTGCACAATTGTGCCTCCACCCTTCCCATGTGGGAGTGGCATTATCGCAGGACAGCCTGGAATCTGTGTGTGTGCGTGCACGCACATGTGTAATGTATGCATGTAAACAACAGACACCAAAATATATAGAACTAAAATATAGAATCAAATTTCGAAGTAATGATATACATATAAATATATGATCTGTGTATATATATGTGTAAGAATGTTAGATCTACCAGGTTGAGGTGCATGCCTTTAATCCCAGCATTTGGGAGGCAGATACAGGCAGATCTCTGTGAGTTTGAGGCCAGCCTAGTCTACAGAGCGAGTTCCAGGACAGGCCCCAAAGCTACAGAGGAACTGTGTCTCAAAAAAACAAGAAAAAAATAAAAAAACCAAAGTTACATCCTCTGTTCTGATTAGAAAAAATAAAATGAATGCAGAAAGAGTCTACCATAACCATGTGACATAATCTTCCTCCTTCGCATATACGATT